ACCAAAAAATGTGTGCCTTAAGAAGGGGAGTTCTTATATAGGAGGTGTCTATAAAGGGGGTTGATTGTAATTGAAATTATTATTAATAAAGATAAAAGCACTATGCCCATGTTTGCAGAAATGGTAGCGATTAACATTTAATAAAAAATATTCATCACGCAATAAAAATAAAAATTAATTATTTTAGAGAATTTTTTTCCAGGATATTATCACTTTGACATTCAGGTAACCTGAAGGAATAAATAAATAACTATATTTTCCTGAAAACATTTATTCACGAAAAAGTAAGTAAAAAAAAGAATAATTAATGTATTATAAACAACGAGATAAATTTAATAAAAATCAGCTAATTCAAAAATTTTCTAGAAAACATTTCTTTAATAGAAACAAAAAAATAACCAAATGGAATAAATATTTTTCGGCGAGACGTTCTTTTGGTGAAATATCCCTTCGGTAAATATCCCTTCAGCGAAATGGCTTCGGTGAAATGGGTTTCGGTGAAAAGGACTTCGGCGAAAAGTCCAGATACCTAAATTTTATAGACGAGCAGATCGAGCAGTACATAAATTAACCTTGTTGCGACGCAACAGGCACAGGGTATCCGGACTTTTCGCCGAATGGACATTTTGCCGAAACCCATTTCACTGAAACCATTTCACCGGGACATTTCGCAAATTTTTTAATTTTCTTTTTTTTTGAGAAGACAAACGAATTATTTAATACACTATATTACAGTAAGTCACGTTTGTTTAAAAAAAATCATCATAAACGAAAATGAAATAGTTTAAAGAGAATTTGTACTTTGAGTATGAATTGTTAATGACAAAGGAAATATGTTAATCACTAACATTTTCGGAGAAATGTCCTTCGACGAAATGGACGATTCGGGAGGATTCGGCGAAATTGTTTTCGGCGAAATGAACTTCGACGAAACGTACCGTAACCTAAAATTTGTACTCATGGCCTTTTTTCTTTTTCTGCTAATCTTTTTTTACGTTGTTCAAGCACCTCAACTTCAAATACTGTATTTCCTGAAAACTTTAACGATACTTCACATTATATTTAATGAAAAATTGATGCATAGTATACGAAAGAAGTATGGCGAAATATATCTTATTCATAATTTATAATCAATATAATTAAATATTTTATTTTATATCATTAAAAATTTACTACAACTTATGTTGGTGATGGAGACAACTAAAAAAAAAATTACAATAAAAGATGAACAATAAAAAAACAATAGCAAAAAAAAACTTTTTTATTTGCGTAATCAATTACTATTTAATTAATAAACAACAACAATTCAACAAAATGTATACTGTAATAATAAAAAAATAACCAAAAAAAACTAATTAAAAAGGATTTATTTTTGAGTTGAACCAAAAAATAATAAATAAAAAAGACAAAAAATTTTTGAGTTAAAAACCAAATTAAAAAAAAAAATGACAAAAAATTTCAATTTCGGTAAAAATTAAAAAAAAAAAATAAATAATTTTATTTTTTCGGTATTGAACTAAAAACAGAATCTGCTGCTGCCGTCCCAAGGGGATGGGAATGGCCGAAAATGAAATATGATTAAAAGTCAAATTAAACTTTTTTTTCGTTAGCATTATCTATTAGCAAAAAAAAGTATCCGATTAAAATTTCATTAGAAAATCTCTCAGAACGGGTTACCAATAACATAATATCGACATTCTACAATCCTGACACCAAGATCCCAAATCCCTGACAGAAACTAAAAAAAAATTATAAAAAATGCTGTGGCGCAGTAACGGGTCTTAGATTACCCCAGCGTACCCTTCAAAAATGTTACGAAACGGCCGGCATTACGGCGTTATGCACTAACACGTGAAAACAAAAAGTGACGAATAAGGGTGTGACAGATGTGGCAAAAGCGGTCACGTGTTTTTATATTGTGACATTTTTGAAGGGTACGCTGTGGAAATCCGGGTCTTAATTATATAATTAAATATAAAATGAATTATTTGATTAATATTAACGCAAAATATTGTTAAATTTTATTTAATACTAAAACAAATTGTTCAAATTTTATTGAATATTATTTGAAATTTTTTTTTAATTAAAAGGACTATATACAGTACATTATATTACTAAATTACTAATCTATTTCAAATAAGAAACAATTGCATTAAAAAAATTCATCCGATTGAATCTTAGTCAGAATTTTGGCCATCAAGGATTGATTCGATCGAGTTTGCATTTATCGGGGATTTTGAAGTCGGATATCAAAATATACATGTGGCCAATCAAATTATAATTTATAATTAGATCAGGCGCATCGAGTCTATGTTACACAAAATAGAATGTCTGAAGCCTTTTTTTTTAGTTATATAGATTCTCTAAATCTATATTTATAATATTAATAATTTAGTCCATAATACAATTTCATAACAATATTATGTTGTAAGTTAATTTGACTTTACAAAAATAAAATATGATTATTTCTTTATTCGCTTAGAAAATCAAAATGATTACTATTTGTTATAGATTATGCTAATTCTGATCTTCTTATTAATTGAATTTTAAAGAAGTCTTCAATAATAATCTTACTTTGGAAAATAAGTTTCAGTTAGCTTATGTCGTATTATGTTTACATGATGTATTGTGATTTTTAGAAAAATTAAAGCAATTATAACGAAATTGTTAAACGGATTTAAATTATCAGATAAGCAAAAATATTAATTCAACTAATAATAATTCATTGAATGAGGAACTACTTCAAGTTATTCAAAAATTTGATAATTATGTATATAAAAAATGAACTGAAAAAAGATATGACAAATTATATTTTCAAAATATCTCATGAAGGAAAAGATTCGACATTAAACAAACATATTATTGATGTAACAATAGTGATTCATATTATATTTTTTACTTGGATATTTCTTTTTTAAGAAAAAGGCATTTGATTTCACAATGTTATGTTGAGTTTTCTGTAAAAGATGAAAATCTGGCTTTAACTTGGATATTTTGTAATGGAATTTAGTGTTAATAAGTAAAAAAGTGATTGGATCTATCAAACAGGCGGTAAATTTGTAAAGAGTATAACTAATCTTGCCAGCATGAAAATGGAGGTGTTAATAAAAACGTATAATAAAGCTTATGCATTATATCATACTAGGGAAGCAAATTCAGGACAAAAGATTGAATAGTGAAGAAAGAATAGTAACAATTTAATCATTATAATTTATAAGTGGTTTACAGGATTTTCATTAAATAGTCTAAATTCATTTTTTTAATTTATCAAAAATAAGTTAATATTGAATCAGTTTTATATATGAAGATTGAATTTTAGGACATACAGTAGTATGGTCTCGAAATAATTTAGTACGTCATCTCCAAATTGAAATGCAAAAAAAAAAATTTGATTAAGTCCTCTTTTCGGCAAATGAATCAAACTTTCAAACTTTCATCTTAAAAATTTCTTCATTAATCTACATAGAATATCCTCGTTCTTTACTAAATCTTAACATTTTTTTTTACAATTTGGTGGACACATTATTTATCGAAAAGATTTTTAAAAGCCTCAAATCATCAGAATTAACAAATCTTTATAAGGAAGGTAAAATATTACGTGATTGATAATCATACCATATACATTACATATGTTCTTTCAGCAATGTTGTAATTTTGGAATTTTTTTATTATCTAAAAATATTTTGTAAATACGTAGGTCGATTCAGATGTTCACATAATCTTCGCCAGTAATTATAAACATAGTTTGACCAGCATTAAAATTAACAAATTAGATGAGTTTAATATTAGGCGGTAAATAAGAGCAAAAAATATTTTAATTTTACGAATTTACTATAAAGAATCTCTTCAGTTGATAAATTAGATTATTACACGCTCATTAGGATTGTGCGGAATTCATTGTACCGATATTTTTGTTATCATGCCCGATATTTTTAATGATGATCGACAATATAATTATATTAGCACACGCACTAATCCTAATATCACGTATAATAATATTGTTATTGAACGGGGCTATATCGGCCTTCGGCCGATATTTTGACGCCCCGTTCAATAACATACAATTATATCATTGACCTCTCCTTAATTTTTTATAATAATTTCAACAACGATAAAGAAACATGCACGCAAAAATGTTTATTTTAATTAAACTCATATCACCTGTGTTGCATAAATAAATTGCCACTATACAAGGAACTAAATTTAAGGAGCGATAAATAATTGTAAAATAATGTTTTTATTAAAGGTATAACGAATCTAATAAGTGAAAATATTACATACAATTGCTAATATAATTCACTATTTCCCCCCTTTTAGGCACAGTATAAATAAAATACTATTAATAAAAAAATAATTATCATGTACTTTTAGTTACATTCGAATAAAAAAAACTTGATTATTTATATGATCAATTTTTTTAATTTTTCTAATTTAATTTGAGCGCATTCAAATCCTTGTTTAGCAGATTTCTCATACCAATAAATCGCTTGATTTATATCCTTTTCATTTCCTCTTCCGTATTCATACATAAGAGCAAGATTATGTTGAGCATACCTATCTCCCGCATTTGCTGACTTATAATATAATTCAAAAGCTTTGTTATAATTTTTTTCAACACCTTTTCCATTATAATACATATTTCCAAGATTATTTTGAGCACCACGATCTCCTGAGCTTGCCAACTTGTAATATAAGTCAAAAGCCTTACTATAATCTTTATCAATACCATTTCCATTATAATATTTATTAGCAAGATTATATTGAGCTATACTATTTCCTAATTTCGCTGCTTGTTGATATAATTCAGTTGCTTTTTGTTCATTAATTATAGTTCCAATACCATTATTATAGAAATAACCAATTTTTGATAATCCTGATGCATAACCCATATTGGCTATTTTTTCAATATATTTAAAGAGTATACATATAAACTGTACTGTACGGTTAGCTAAACTGTACTGTACGAAGTGAGAACTCACCAATCAGATTTTACTGTACGATAAATAAAAAAAATTTAAAAAATTTGAAAAGTATACAATGAGTTATGATTGGCTAAAATATTTTCGTACAGTACAGTTTAGCTGACCGTACAGTACAGTTTATCTATTTACCTTATTTAAAAGCTAATTTTTCATCTTTTACAGTTCCACGGCCAATTTCATAACATAATCCAACATAAAATTGTGCTAATATATGACCTTGTTCTGATGCGTCAATAAATAAATCAAATGCTTTCTTATCATCTTCGACTGTTTCAATTCCTAAATAATTAAAATATCCAAGTAAGAATATAGAATCTAAATTATTTTGATTAGTTAATAGTAAATAATAAATTTCTTGTGAATTTATATTATTATCAAAATAATCAAGAATATCTTTATTATTTTTGATATGCGTTGATTCTTTTCCTTCATTAATTATTTTGAAAGTGTAATTTACTGTATCATTAACTATTTTATTTAATTTTTTTTCATTTTCATTTGTTAATGATGTAGGTACTATTTCTCTTGTGTTCATTTTATCAAAATTTTGTATAATTTGAGACATTTCCCCATGTAATGAATTATCAACATTCAATAAAGTATCAGTATTAGTTGGATTAAAATTTAGTTCCTCTGTTAATGTTGAATGAAAACTTAATATTGTTTGATCATTTTCCATTGATATGTTTGTTTTTGTCATAATTGTCTTTAATCTTTCTACTATTTGATTTATGGTTGGGCGTTTATCTGGTTCGCCATTCCAACATTCTAAGAAAAAAAAAAATAGTATATTGTAATAATGAGAGTTTGTTGAAAAATTTTACTTCAAAACAATAAATAAATATATTACATACCAGTATAAATTTCAACATAATCTTTAGGCGTATTGGGAGCGGGTTCTTCTCTAAGACCCTGTGAAATTTCTAAAGCCAAATCAATATCATATTGTTCACTTTTAGAATAATAGGGAAGTTGACCACTAGATATCTCCCAGAATAATACACCAACACTATAGATGTCACTTTTTTCATTTAACGAAAATATTTGTGTTGAGTTTGGATCAACGTAAGGAATTATTCCAAAAAGTTTTGACTGTGTGTTGGATGATGATTCAATTCTCTTTGATAACCCAAAGTCAGATAATTTGATAATATTTCGATGGACCAATACATTTCCCGAGTGCTGTAAGTACGTTATGATATTAAAAATATGGAAAAAAATTTACAATAATACTTTTATATTTAATAAAGTAAATTACCAAATCACGATGCACTATTCCTTCATTATGTAAGCATGACACGGCACAGGCTAATTGGTATGCAAAGTTATATTTATCGTTCCATGTAAGATTATTGAAGTTTTCCTTTAAATAATTTTTAAGAGGACCAGATTCAGCATACTCCATCACTAGCAAATAATTATTTGATTGAGAATTTTGGTTTTCTAATTATAAATAATAAATAATAAAATAAAAGAAATAAACATTTTTTATTAAAACATTTTATAAAATCATGTTTTAAACATATAGTATCATATTAATTTTATTATACCTGGATCAAATTTTGCAATTCCATAAAATTTAATAATATTATTATGGAATTGTATATCACGTTGAAGCTTAAGCTAGAATATTGAAATTATAAATATAAATTTAAGATATTCAAATATTATGATTGTTTCTTAATTTATACCTCATGAACGATTTCTTTTGCAGTAACGCCATCAAAATTAAAAAAAGATTTCAACGCAAAATATTGAGAATTTTTCCAACTCGCACGATAAACTTTTCCGAATCCTCCAGTTCCAACATTTTGAATATTACTAAAATGCTTTTGTTCATAAAGTCTATAATACTCTTTAGAAACACATTCTTCAATCCAATTAATCCATTCATTTGTATTTTTTGTTTTTTGCATTTTAATACTAGTAGTATTAGTAATCGTTAAGTATAAGGAGAAAAAATATTATTATTATGGATAATATTATGAACTTTACTAAATATATATAAATTTTTTTCAAATGTCATACAAACAAATAAGCCATTGTGCATATAATATGATTCGTAATTTTAATGATTTTTGCCAAAATTTCCAATTTTAGCATAGTAAATTATCAATATATACAGATCACGATACAAAGTTGTTAGCAATCAGATGATCTAAATTTCATAGTGTTGTTTATTGTGATTGGCCGTTGTAATAATAAGTTGTATTCCAAAAAAAGAAGGAAGTAGGTCCTAATTTGGTTAGCAAATATGGCAAAACAGGGGTCCGTTTTTATATAAAATATATATAAACATAATTGAAATTTCGTTTCATTGCAATGAATTTCAATTTCAATTTCAATTTCAATATATCAATTGATTGTTTTTTGGACAGCAGTTGTTTAAATAAATTTCGTGAATTGAAGTTGATCATCATTTACGTCACAGTAAGTAAAAATAATCTAAAATTGGATTTACATGTTATAAAAATTGAAACTTGTATATAGTAACTATAAATAAATTAGTTATAATGAAGGTACTTTTTTTTATTAATAAAATTGTATTTTTTTATTT